TCATGTGAAAGAAAGAAACATTAAGAAAACTATTATTTACTACAATACACAGCAATAAGTTCAGAAGACTTGTATAAGATTGTTAACAGAACGGGGATCATTCTGGTATTAAGATTTAAAAAATCAATCAGGTACAAATTATGTGGGCTAAAAGGTCCCAGTGACTCGACAAAATAAAATAATATCCAAGTATTGGTTTGTAGGGATTTGATTGATTGGTTACAGGATTTCATCATGAACTGACATTGGTTAGAGAATCACTGGAAAACCTGGACAGCTGCTTCGTCAGCCTAGTTTGAGACTCTTTAGCAGTGCGCATCCACCACAGGAGGTTCGAACCCAGGACCTTCTGGTTGCAAGGCGAGCGAGCTCGTAGACCATTAAGCCAATCAATCAACTCCCTACAAACCAATACTTGAATATCAATGAGATGCTCACTGGCGACTGGCCCTATTCAGGTAGGTAGTTACTTGGGGCTCTAGTGGGATGTTGTGACCAGTAGGGTGCAGCAGGTCGGGCGTGGGGACAATTACTCGCCGAAGACATTGGCCAGTGGTTGCGCTAAGTCGTGAATTGGCAGAAGTTAGAATTCATGGGTTGACCATTAGAACGGGTCCCAGTAGCTTGCCTTGTAAACAGAAGGTCCCGGGTTCGAACCCCGCGTGGTGGATGCGTACTGCTATAGAGTCCCAAACTAGGCTGACGAAACAGCTGTACAGTACTCCTAGGTTTTCCAATGGTTCTCTAACCAATGTCAGCTTATGACAAAATCCTGTAACCAAAACAAAATAACAGACTATAAGGTACCATGTAATGACTGTGGGGTCAATTACTTAGATCCCTTAGGTCATGGAAAAACAGGAATTTAGAGATGTGTTGAATGAGAGACCTTGAAGTGATTAACATAGAAGAAACGTGGCTACTGTAATAAAAGTGCAAATATACGATTACGAAATAACACGGGACAAATTCGCAATTCTAATAGGTAAAATATATTCAAGTGTAGGTAGAATTAGGTCAGTGAGTCTTATCTTGTCAGATCTACAGCTAACAGTTACAATAAAAATCATACAGCATCAGCACTCTGAACACAGAAAGTATTACTACTAACGAGATCTGAGGGCTATAAATAATGGGACTATAGAAATGAAATCTGAAAGTGACTACACAGAAAATAAACATGAGCAATAAGTTGTGCTCGAAATTTATTCAGTTAATAAAAAATTATTGTATAACTGTGTGATATATCAAACACATTTTTTAATTACGCTAGATTTGCCATAAAACATTTGTGTCGATGTGAATGTTTTTCTTAAACTAGAGGTATTTATCTACGTCAGTGAGCAAATAAAAGATTTCGAAGATGCACCTGTGTTCTAATGCCTTCAGCTCACTTAACAGTGATCCAGAAAAGAGGATCAAAGATATTGCATTGGTTCACGAATATTTATTGTGAAGTATTTAAAATATGAAGTTTCTCTTTCTACTTATTATCACCAATGATATTCCTAACTGTGGTGGACTGGATTATGCGTCAGACAGTGGGAAACGAGAAAACAGGAATATCCTGGACCGACGTGAAGAACCTAGAAGACCTAGATTTCGCGGATGATTTATGTTTGATGTCACACAAAATCGAAGACTTACAGGCGAAAACCGACAAACTGGTCGAAGAGGCTGGCAGCAAAGACAGGACCGCAGGTGAACATAAACAGGACGGAGGTTATGAAAATAACCAACCAACAACAACAGCAACATCCAGCGCCAATCACCATCAACGGGAGGGATTTGAAAGAGGTTACTTCATTCACTTATCTAGGGAGGATTGTCTCAACCACAAGAGGAACGGACGAGGATGTCAAATCGAGAATCGGGAAGGCGAGAAACACATTCATCAACCTGAAACCAATCTGGAGATCTTCGTCACTCAGCATCAACAACAAAATTCGGATTCTCAATACAAACGTCAAGTCAATTTTGCTTTACGGATCAGAAACTTGGCGAGTCACCAAGAATATTTCCAACAGATTGCAGACCTTTATCAACAACTGTCTTCGCTCTATACTCAAGATCAGATGGCCGGGAAGAATCACAAACAAGAAACTATAGGAACAAACAAAACAAGAACCAATTGCTCAACAAATATGCAGCAGAAAGTGAAGATGGATTGGACACTCGCTGAGGAGGCCGCTGGATGACATCACGCGTCAGGTCAACGCTCAAGTGGAACCCGAAAGGGAAACGGCGAGTGGGACGTCCAAGGGTGACATGGAAGAGATCGTGTGAAGAAGAGTTGAAACAGTATGGATTAACATGGATGCCGGTGAAAAGTACAGCAGGAGGCAGAAGGAAGTGGACAGGTGTAGTTGAAACCCTATGTTCCACTAGGAACCCAAGGGAACAAAAAATAATAATAATTTCCAGTATGCTACCTTAAAAGTACTTACAACTGTCGTCATTTTATTTGAATTACATGGAACTTTTCTTTGCATTTTAAACGTACATCTTTGGGGATATTGATTCGACTTGTTTATTTTTGCCCTAATTGTTTAAGCTTTATGTTCTGTTCACTTAATAACACTGACATCATAAAGAGGTTTTTCTCAAAGTGAACTCAATAAGAAGTTTCCAGTGCTTATGTCTTAATTTATTTTGCTAACTGGAGACAAAACTTCAAATTGTATGATATTTAGATTTTCCCAAGACAAGTGAAATATTCCTTTATTCCATCAAAAAATGACTGTGTTATGAAAGGTTCACTGATACAACTATAGTTCACCAATAAGAACAAAAGTTGGAGGAGATGTCAAGCTTTGATAGGTCTAGCAAAAAAAGTAGATTATAGTAAAGCTCACCATATCAAACCATGTATCTTGTTTTACTAGCTTCATGTTCTTTAGCCTTTGCAAGTGAGATTTTTAAATAACAATTACCTGACATTCCCTTTTAATTATTCTGTACTGTTAATTCACTAAGTTGACAGGAAGTCTGTGGTGAACTTCACATGCATGAAATTCTTTGTCATTCATGTGTAGGAGTTAGACTTGGCTTAATATAGACCTCAAAATAACCACTCCTACAAAACTTCTTCACCGCTTAATGACCTTAGCTGTACTCTGCCTAACGTGCAAGTATTCACGAACGGAATCAAGGTAAAAAGACTTGAGATGACTAGTGTGTCTGGAACAGAGTTATATTTTACACAAATGAGATATGAAATTTGATAAAATAAGAGGTTATACAACTTATCTGCTGCCTTGACTGTAGTAGGCTCGGAGAGTGCGCTGAATGAAAGCACAACGAGAGAGCGAACCAAAAATGTACAGGAGAGTCACAAATCAAAAGATGAAGTAGTGCCAAAAGTGGGTGAGTGCGTTCAAACAAAAAGTTCAAAGGTTCAATGTACACTACACCTGATTGCTTCTATAGACTTCTTTTTTCATTCATAACTTCGAAAAACTGGATGCTTTCTTATTTATAAATATTTATAAATGAAGCAGTTGTGATTTATTTTACCCATATGCTATTTAGCGAAAACATTCATTCATTCATGTAGTCACGAAAACATTTTATAAACGAATAGTGATGTACGAATAAAACAGTTAAAACTGCAGTGTGTACTTTCATTTGAATATGTATCTTATTGAAATCACTGAATCAGGTGGTGATGGGATAGTCTAAATCAGCTCAGCTGGAGAACCAAATGTTCTTCAGATTAATTCTCTATAAATTATAACATCATATGTACAGTGAATAGAAATGTGGAAGCAAAGAAGACAGTTTTAAAAGAACCAGCAAATGAATAGCAATAAGATGTTTGCAGTTAGAATGAGGATAGTTAGTCAGTGAAAGCGGTTCAAAACTGTGACTTCATTTTACCTTTTCCTCATTTTAAGGTTAAGTTAGTTACCAGAACATTAACGCTTGTACTAGTCCCTAGAACAAATGTGGAGCCATATTGCTGCTTTACAACACTGTTAGCTCCATTTTATATCTCCAAAAAATGAAAACAACCCATTTCAAGTCTAAAGAGACATTCGAATGAATGGTGATCTTATTTATTTGATCAGTGGGAAACTGTCGATGTGGATGGTGTGCCTATATGTTCCACGGCAACAGAATTTGTCAGTAGACTTTTTATCTTAACCAGAAGATGAAGTTGAGTTAACTGATACAACATTCGGAGCACATGCATTTGAACAATACCATTAGGACCTGCCCACAGTCGAAATTCGGATCCTATCCTAATCACAATGATACAGGTGATTACTAACACACTAGAAGTAAATTAATCTACGGTAAATACGGGGCAAACCATGCTTCTCAAACAGAATGATGAATTAGGATTGAACGCTAAGAAAACTTCGATTTGACCAGAGAGAAATGGAAGTTGGTTGGAGGTAATATCTCATGCCCTATACCATGAGATGATACAGGAATGTTACCCGGTAGCTTTTAGAAAGTCGGAGCATCTCCGCTCGAAAGCTTTAGACAGGGAATGAGTGTGGTGGGTGCTAATGACGAGTTTGGAGGTAGTATATTGTGTGTAATTTCTTTTGCAAGAATGTTAAATAGTGAAGGGTTGGAATAAATGGCGAAGAGTAGAAATGAAAGATCCGAGTGATACAACTTAGACGACAAAAGAAGCACAGTAAGGGGAAAATGTGCAAATGACGACCTTAATTTTTCATAAAATGCTGTAACACAAAACAAGGACTGATAAGGTAAGTGTGGAAATTATTACGTCAGTGAGAATGGAGGTGAAAGTGGAATAGCTTCCTAAGTGATAAAACATTGAGTTTTTAACCAGTCGTCACGTGAAGCATACCCAGACTATCTTCATTCTCTAACACAGTCTAACTATCAAAAACAATGACTAATTATGTTTTTGTCACGGGGAAGAAATCATATATGTCGCAAAGATCACTGTTAAATGTTTATCAAAGAGAACTTCAAAGTATTACAGTTACTACTGTTATTATTATTTTTCTTCTGTAAAACCAGTCACTGTTAGATAGTTAGTAATCCAATTCTTATCATGGGACTAAACTGCCTACTTTTTATTTTTTCTCTTCCCCTTACGTTTCCGTAACCTTATTCCACGAATCTCAATCATAGTACGCCACCATGCTTGTATTTGTAAAACTGACATAAGAAATTTCTGCGCATATTCATCACGAATACGTTTCGCCTCTTTTTCACGTTTATCAGCAGTAATTATTTGTTCATATTCTAATTGCTGTCTTTCTAATTCAGCATGCATAGCTTTATTCTGCTCTAGTTCATTAACAATATCATTAATTTTTTCAGTCATATATTCTGATTGATAAGTGATAGCTGCATAGCCGGCAACATTTTCCAATCTTGCAATATTACAATATAACCATGCATTAATTTCTTCTGATATTCTAGCCTGCTGTTGTGTTTGCAATTTCACCTTTTCTAACTCATCAGTTAACTGTTTAATTTCATCCGATTGAATAGCTAATTCTTTTTGTAATCTCATATCATAATCATGTTTTTTGTATTGTTCAATCATATTTGAAATTTCCTCCAATTCTTGTAGTTCATGTTTTAATGAAGTCAAGGTTGTTGTAAACTCTACTGTATTATTACACATACAAACTTCTAATTTTTGTAAATCATTTTGTAATTCATTTAAATGTCTTTCATTTTCTTCAGCAGAATTAACAAAATTTTCTAATTTATCTAATTCATCTTGTTGTTGATTACAGTATTTTTCTAAACAATTTATAGTCCCGTAATCATTCAATTCATCAGTAAGTGATTTAAACAAATTCATTAACTTTTCAATTATTTGTAAAAAACTTCGTTTACTTTTTTCGTCTTCTTCTTCTTCTTGAATACAGTAGGCATTTTTATTTGTTATATTATTAAGCTCATGTAGATTAGATGAAAGTCTTTTAGAAAAATAAATTGTTTTATTTAAACTTGAATTGTATAACACTTCAAGTTGTTTACTTGTATCACTGATAGCAGCTAGTACAGAGATACATTCTGCTGGTGAAAATATACCCTCTTGTAGCATAATAAAAAGTGTGAGAATAATTATATACATATAGTAGAATTCATTTATTTATTGATCACGTTAAACTTAGAGGTCGATAAATATCAGCTGACGACGACTATATTATCATATTTGATCACGTGGGTGATGTGATTAATATGATGTTATAAATGTATTGATGAATGAAATGCATCGGGTTTCCTGATAAAATAACTTCCAAAATTTCCATGTTGTAGCAACAATTTGAATCATACTAACAATTCAGCAGTTAATCTGCATGTACCAAATTATGAAGTAAAATCAATGAAGAAGTAAAGAAACTTATGAAGATGGATAACGTAAGAAGAAACTTGGGCACTGTGGTAATAAGTAATTCCATATTAGTTTGTTTATTAGGTATATCACACACAGTCAGTGAAACAGTATTATTTACTGGATGACGTTTCGAACAAAATCTTATTGTTCATAATCATTTCATCAATTATAATCACATGACTTCGAAACTTCAGATTTATAGTTTTCTTTGTTCTCTCGTATTTGTCATAGGGGTAGTTGGAATTTTCTAGATATCTGGGTGGACAGGTGTTGAATCATTCCTATTATACGTGTTTGTAGTTGATTCGATAAACAAAGCTTCCGTTATCAATTTCTCCCTGCACCCTGTGACATTAGTTTTTAAAACTGCCATTTTATCCCATCCCATTGTATGGTTGTGTGTAATTGCATGTAGTGCTATAGCTGAACTATTCTCTAGCTTTTCTTATCTAGTTGGTTAGTTGACTGCAACCACGTGTAATAGGAATGATTCAACACCTTTCCACCCGGACATCTGGAAAATTCTACTACCCCTACGACGACAAATAGGAGAGAACAAAGAGAACTATAAAACTCAAGTTTCGAAGTTGTGTGATTATAATTGATGAAATGAATACGAACAATAAATTTTGTTGGAAACGTCATCCAGTAAATAATACTGTTTCACACTGTGTGTGATAAACCTAATAAACAAACTAATATGGTAAGAAGAAGCTGAATTCAATCCACAGTTCACTCAATAAAGAATTGAAGAACAAACAACCAGCGCTCTGTGTCCAAAAGAAACAAGTCCAGCCCCTACTACTGCCCTGGCCCTCAGTATAGACTATAAACACATGAATTTGTACTATTAGCTTTCCTAATTCTTCTGACATTCAGTTTATTTTATGTTGATGCTGTTCAGCTGTAATTTATCAATATTATTGATTCGATGTTATTTAAACAGCAACATTAATGTTGTTCATAACACTAATTCATTCATTCACTATAATGTGTATATATAACTGTAGAGCCTGATGATGAATTTATCGGAAAGAGTACTCTTTGTTCCGTGTCTATTCTTTTGAAAATTGAAGAATATTACCAGGAAGGACAAAAAACAGTTCTACAACACACTGTCAACTGAAGCAGGACAGCCTTCAGCTAAGAGGGGCCTCAGAACACTTTGCGAGATAATCAGGTGGCTATCTGAAAACAGATTAACACAGATGAAATGAATGAAAAGTAATGAATGGAGCCTAATTATCAGAAAGAAGCATGGGGAAATTCTGGGCTCAGCACTTCAAAAAACTTTTGAATCAATTACCACCTACAGCTCATCAGGAAATACCACCACCAGTGGTCACAGAATTCCCAATGTATACTAGTTTTCCAATAGAAACAGACGTCTCGAAGTGTATGAAGTTACTAAAAGTCAGGAAGGCAGAAGGCCCCAACGGAATTCCTGCACAAACTCTGAAATACTACCTAAAGACCTCAACGGATATGCTGATGCCGCTACTGTAGGACATCTGGTAGGAAGGAAAGGAAACTACTGATTGGAAGAAGGGTTACCTTGTGAAATTACCAAAGAAGGGCAACTTCAAACTTTGCAAGAACTCACTTGGAAACATGTTCCAGTCCACATCCACACTACGGTTTGCTCACTCTGAAGCCAAGGCAATAATAATAGCATATGATATATAAGTAAAAACTTTATTTTTATGCCATAAAACCACCTTCTGCAGGATAAAATGAACTAATTATGTTTCGCATGGTTTTTGTCAGTCGCATACAGTCTAAATCATAAAATGTATAAATAATCAATGAGAAATGATTTTAGTCGGTTCATTTTATATTAGCAGAATAAAATGTCGAATACGAAGACGACTAGAAATTGGATTGGACAGTAAAATAATCGTTTACGATCAAAACACAAATGTTATATATTGTAAAGACAGAGATTTTCTAGAATTTAAAGGCGAATTCAGATAGAAATTGAAATGTTTATGTAAATATATGAAAGGATGTTCAAACAAAATGAAATAACTCAAAGATAACAACGAAATTAACAAAAATTGGCACGAAAGCAGATTGATGCAAAAACAATAAGTTAAGTCAAAGGAAGAGTTATGAAATTTCAATGAGTTAAAGCAAAAGAGTTACGTACTTATCGACCCAGTCTGGGCGTTACTCTTCAATTGTAGACAGATTCAGCAATTCAGAGCAGTTGGAAAGTGACATGTCTGTTCAAAACCTTTACGGATTCTGATCTGGTGTCATGAATAAGCCAGGTGCCGAGTTATGGTGTTGTTAGACGTAGCTAAGCCTGATTTAGGTGGTTGGAAGTGATCGACAGGAAGCCTTGAACCTGGGCTTCGTACTTATTGCCCCTTGTCAGCAAGGGGTAACAGCAGCCTTGAAGAAACTCGTGTCTCTTCAGAGATTCTAAACCACGTCATCCAGTAGTTAAGTCAGAGAAGTTCCCGCTAAGCTATTCGTGGTCGCAATTGACTTCCTGTAAGACTGTAGTGAATAAACTGGGGAGCAACAAATGTCATGAGTCTAATCCTTGCTACTTGCGTAGACTGAAACAGAACCTTAAAGACACAGGCTCTTCAACACGTGTTTAAAAATCCTAGTAGACAACTGTCTCATCGTTCTTCTTATTTTAAGAATCAATGGTTAGAGATTTCTAGTAATATTGTAACAACAGAAGGCTACATACAGAAGCCAAGGTATATTTTCAAGTGATCGAATCGCTGTTTAAAAACATACAGTTTATATTCTTTAACCAACCACTGAAAGTGTGATTTCGTTTTGCATCAAACGACATGAAATACGATGTTCAAATGTACATAGTATTCTTTTGTTAATGCACTATGTAACTGTGAGAAATGTATTCCGTCACTAACCTTAAATAGAATGTTCCAATAGATACATCGCATTCTGTTGCTAATGCCGAATTGAACTATGGGAATATGTGAGAATAATATTCCGTATTCACACATTGGCTGTATCACACCACCACAATATGGCTCTGTATCATCATCAATGTCGCAAATACATCCAGCAATTATAGACATGTTGTCAAGGTACTTAACCCTAAGTTCCTATTATTTGCGAAGACGCTCCGAATCGACAATTATACTAAGTACGATTATTGACTTTAACTCTGGAATAAAAGGACCAATAAGAAATTGTATTCTTCGACAGTTAAATTCAATGTTGGTACAAAGTCTATAAGCAAATGTTTTACGAGGAATGTATTGTACTTTTATTCGTATTCTTTCGTCTTCTTCCAACTTGTACGTGATTGAATCATTCGCGCCTTCGAGTTGCCCGCCATTGGCAACCAAGGCCAATGAACCAACGTTCAATGTAAACATTCATTTACACATGTTCGTACTCAAACTAACCTGCCATCATTCTATTTCCGCCTACTTCTTTTGTGCATATCATCTCGAAAAATAGCATCTTGAACTGATGCATTTTTCAAGTATTGGTTTGTAGGGATTTGATTAATTGCTTACAGGATTTCATAATGAGCTGACATCGGTTGGAGAAGCATTGGGAAACCTTCGACGGTTTCATCCTTTTTCAGGACTCTTCATCAGTGCGCATCCACCACGGGGAGTTCGAACCCAGAACCTCCTGGTTACAAGGCGAGCGAGCTGGTAGACCGTTAAGCTACTGGGACTCAATCCAATGGTCAAACCATGAATTATAGTTTCTGCCAATTCACGACACACCACTACCACTAGCCAATGTCTTGGGTTAGTATTCGTCCTCACACCCGACATGCTCTACTCTACTGGTCACGACTTCCCACTACGTATATATATATATACATTGATCAATTAGTCAAAGAAGTGTTATCATTACAAGAATAGGGAAATCTTTTCGTTAGGCTGATAAAATAAACAAAACAAGTTTTGATAGTCTTCTGAAAAAGACCAGTGTATTTTTACTCATTTGTCACATTTCCAAAACTTAATCTTTTTAAAGTGGAACAGGTAGTCAAACCATCACTTTTAATATTGAAGTGTTCTCAATGGTGTGTAGAAAGATTGCACCTTTCTGATTAGAAAATCTCTGTTATCTTAATCTCTAATACAACACTGAGAATGTTTACATCTTTAAAATAAAACAAAACAAACAAATAGCACACAAAAATGCACACAAAGCAGATAATTTTAAAAGTACTAGTGAAGTTCAATTCACTGAGATAGGTGAATTATTAACAACCATGCTAACTAACGATACGTAGAAAGAAAGTAGAAAATTAGATTCAGTTTTAACTGTTCACAAGGGTGTAACCAATATTAAGTGTGTTAGTGAAAGAATTTATTCGGCACCGTAAGCAGGACTAGACACACATGAAACGGACTACACCCTAGTGACCAATCAATAATTATATTCAATTTTTAGGAGTTGGTTTGTAAGGATTAAATTTGTCTTTACGTATTTGACCAAGGATTGCTATCAGTTAGAGAACCATTGTAAACCAGCCAAGGAGTACTGCACAGCTGTTTCATCCTAGTTTTGAACTCTTCATTGGCCTTCACTAGGTTTAGTGTGATGAGGAATACTCGTTGATGATATCGGTTGCTGATAGCGCTGGATTGCGTTTCAGTGGCTCAGTGGCATAAGAGCTATTCTTGTAGCTTGAATATCCTTAGTTCGGTCTCTGTTGGGATCATCGTTGTGTCCAACTGAAGAATCCT